CAAAAACAACCTACGAAAAATTTATTTTTATCTCTTTAAAATAAAACGTGTGTATGGCGACTTTTTTTGCCTAGTCGTCGATTGAAGCGCCGCTGCTCTGCTGTTCCTGTTGCTCGCCCCGCCTCGCCCCGCCTCGCCCCGCCTCGCCCCGCCTCGCCCCGCCTCGCCCCGCCTCGCCCCACCCCGCGAGCCTGCACTGCCCCTTTTCCTGCCGCGCGATGTCCCTCGGCGTAATGGCCTCGGCCAGGCGAGCGGCCGCGGCCATGCCCAGGCCTGGCAATGTCCAGAATCACACCTCGACACACTGCCGTAAACGGGAATGATTCGGCCGAGCCACGCGACCATCAGGGTGGGGCGGGGCGTGGGCGGTGTGCGCGTGCGCGCGCGCGCCGCAAACGCTTAGCGACTGACACGCCATGCGCGTATACTACCTTGTTTGTACGCGTGGGACTTGTCTAGAGACGACACTGCCGTATAGCCTTCACGTACGGTAGGTTTTCGAAAGCAATCGTAGTAAATGTAGCTTGCAAAAACGATGCAAAAAACTGGAGAGGAGAAAAAAAGGGGGGGGCGGTTCTAAACGGGCTGCGGCTCCTGCGTGTCTTTTCGTGTAATGTTATCACATCACATCCCTTTTTAGGGGAGCAGCGGCGCCATCGCATTAATACGACTCATTGAACCGACTGTTTAGCGATCCATTGCAACCCCCCCCCCGCCCCCACTTTACCTCATAAACACACGCACACACACACTTCGACTACTGATATAAATTTAGGCAGAAGCACGGATTTGTTTACTGACTAGTAGTGGGACTTTGTGAATTGTGTGTATCGTGGTTTGAACGTTCGCGTAAATTCTAGATTTGGCGAGGATTGCATTGCTTTCCTCCCCTGCCCCCCCCCCCCTTGTTTATTTGAATGCTTCATCAGGTTGCTGTGTACTGGACGCCCTCTCTTGGGGACGTGAACCGACGTGAACTGCCTCTGGTCACCCCTGCCTATGCTCCTTGGATAACTCTATACATATTGCATTCGTCCATACATGCACGTCGCCTCTGTGTGTGAGCAGCCCCCTCTGTGTAGGTGTGTGTACAAGCTCGTGTATGTAGGAGTCGACCGTGCACCCCTGTCCACAAAAAAGAAAAGAGAAACGAATTTGCGTCGTTGGGATCTTGCGCGTGGTTGCCATGTTGCTGTTTTATGTGTGAGTTTGAGTTGCCAGCGACGCGGCGACTCACATAACAATGAGCGCGATCATCCCGGTGCGAGGACGCGAGGGTGGCAGAACAGTTTTGATGCGATAAAATTTAATTACAAGCAGCTTGTCCTTGACGCGTCCCCCGTGTCGGCAGCGCAGTGGCGGGTCCCAGGGGGCCCGTGTCCGTGCGAGTGTGCGCGCCGGGCCGGGCTGGGCCGGGCTCAACCCCGGCAGACTTACACCCCAAAGGCGTATAACAGGGGGATGGTGCGTCAAGTTTCAAAGTCGAGAGGCAAAATGGAACTAACTGTTGATGCGGACACGCTCAGATAGCATTGTATGCAGAATTCACTCCTTTGCTACAATTGTTGTGATGAGCTTCTTCACTAGATTCCTCCCAGGACGTAAGTACTTACGTGCAATTAAATCTACCATTAAAACTGTAGTTCATATGCGTTATGTCCCTGTGGGATTTATCTAACGTATAGTCACAGGTGTTGTGTTTTCAAACGTCCCCAAACGTGCTAACTTATTTGTTTACCTTTTTTGTCAGTGTCGGTGGGAGGGCAGGCGCCATGCATTATGCATGACTCCAGATTGGCCGGAGCGCATCCCGGTGCATCCTTATTCAGCTCCGCGGCCTCCTCCGGGGACCCCGCGGTGTGGGCCGCGCGGCGGAGGCGCGGCGGTGGCAGCGCTTCAGGTGTGGAGATTTCCAGCCAGGGGCCGCGAGCCAAGCACTGAGCCCCACCCGCCCTGCGCTGCACCACGCCCTACGCTGCACCGACGCCATGTCCCGCCAACTGGTTGTGCGGGGTGGGACTTGCTGGCAGCAGGGGAAGTAAAGTTGCGCACCCTCAAATAAAATCTTTTCCGTTTCACTTAAATTTTTGAGGGGAGGAATCATGAAATCTTTGAGAGTGTAGGGAAAATGTAATTAAAGTATCATTGAGAAAGCAACGCATATAATTGACGTTAGTTCTCCTTGACGAAACTATTGTCAACGTGCGGGGAGGGAGAGAGTGAGAGGCGAGAGCCGCAGAGATCGAGCTTGGAAGAATGAAAGAGAGCCAGCAGCGGAAGCTGGAGCAGGGGCCTTGACGCCTCCCCGCGTGGGCCGGCCGTCCCCTCCGGGCGTCCCTCAAGGCTACCACCATATCAATTGTGAATGAGTGGACGGGGCGGGGCGGCTCGGCGCCGTCTGACAATCACATGGCACCTGCGGCGTGCAGTGGGGCCAGGTCCTGGAGCCTCCAGGCTGGAGGGCGGCGGAGCAGCAGCAGCCCTTCGTGCGATTACCCTCTCAGTGCGCCCCTCCCCGCCCTTGGCATTGGCTAAATAAAGAATACCGCCCGTCTGACTGTCGGCGTGTCAAGGGCGCCAGTAAAGACGCAGTCAAACATTGTGTCTTGTTTTTCGATTATTTCTTTTGCTTTTTCAGGTAAAAATGTGTTTTTGTATGTAAATAAGTGTTGAAAGTATCTCTGTGAGCATGTTAATGAGTATGTGTAAAGTATGCATGTAAGTATGTAAATAAGTGTATAAAGTAGCTATGTAAATATATAAATAAGTATATGTAAGTATATACATACGTTTGCAGGGGATGGCTGTGGATTTCCACTTCACTTCTGTCCGCTCCGTTTTTCCGTGACGCATGTGCTGCGCTCTTTTCGGTAGTCTTACAGCGTCCCGTGGTCATTGGGGACGATGGCCGCTGAAATAGAAGCGCCTGAGAGGCCGGCCGCAGTTTGGCGCTCGCTGCGCCCCGCTCGGCTGAGATTCAGGTCGCACTCGCTCCGGGCAGGGTATGGCGGTGGGCACGGCCTCCAGGCCAGGATAACAAAAAACAATCCGGGCGTTATCCTCGGATGGGAGTTGAGGAAGTGCGGCCCAACTACCTTAAATTCCAACGATGTGCGAATGCCGGCGAATGCCCCTTTTATGCCCTCCCCGTCCACCCCCTTCCCCTTTCTTGGCCGCGCCGCAAACTTCCTCCACTCACGTGTCCTCCCCTTCTCCCCGCTCTCCCCTCACGTCTTCTCTCCCCCCTCTCCCCAACCTCTCTCCTCACGAGACGCCGGCGCTGCGCGATATAGCGCGAGATAGGACACCGCGCAGCGAAGATTAAGGTACTGAGAAGGAAAGGAAATGTGCTTTCTTTTCTTTATCATTTTAGTTACCTGGTTCTTGGACGGTTTTCAATATGGTACCCTCCTTCCCTACACGTCTGATACAGAGTGTCACGTGAATCCACTTTCCGACCCCGCCTCCGTTTTCTATCAAGTTTTTTTTCGCCCGCACATGGGGATGCCCCTGCTGCCCGTCCGCTCTCAGCGCACATTTCTTCGTCCTGCTCCCCTCGCCCCCCCCTCTCTCTCTGGCCCCTTTCTCCCCCAGTCCGCTTCCGCAGCGATGAGTTTCTCACACTCATATTGTCGCACTTTTAATAAAAAGGAAGTGAATTCAGGCGGCATTGTCTCGCGCCGCAGCAGCTGGAGCTCTTAGGCCTACTCGAGCCCCTTCGTCTGGGTACTCTGCGAAAAAGGCAAAAACGACGAACGGTATGAGGTGGCTCGAATTCAGGCTATAGAGTTGTAGAAAAAACGTATACTTTTTCCCAAAGAGATTCGGGCCAATTTGATTTGGAAATTTGTCGATGTCGTCGAGTTTTCAGGGTGCGGAGGGAAATGAAATTAATGGCAACAAACTTTTTATTCTTTGGTACGGTCGTGGCTACGGGCCGCCACGTCCACCTCCTCACTTTCACTTACATCTCCCAAATGCTGGAGTGAGCAAAGTAATTCGTCTCCCTGACGCCGGGCAGCGATAAGACGCGAGCCCCTTGCGTCTTTATTTCTCTCTCCCACTCGCTCTTCCTCTCTCTGCTTGTCCCCTTCCTATCAGATGAGGCCCACGGCCCGCACGAGTCCTGGCACCGCCGTCTTGGAGCTGCTTTCCTAGAGCGGTTGTCAAGGAGCTACTGTTCTGGAGCGGTTGTCCAGGAGCTGCCTGGAGGATTCAATAAGTACAGGTGGTTTATGCGGTTCCGGCCGGGTCGGCGCTTGTTCGTTCTTCGCCTGCCAAGGGCCCGACATCAACAATTTTAATTTACGGCTCGCAATTTAACGCTAACGCAAAATTGAGCGGGATAAAATGCAAAAGGATATAATGGCAGGGATGAAGATGAAAGCTTGTCGGCCGTTGCCTTTTGTAGCGACCGACTCTCCACTACGCTGCTCTGTCCGACCGATTCCATCTGTTTTGCCGCTGACCGCCGCCGCCGCTTCGCCGGCCCTCCAAGTTTGTTCGGTCGAGCGCGGGCGATAGCGCTGGCCGCTCATTTCCGGTCGCAGGATTATCAGTTTCTCTCTCGATCCTCGCTCTGCAGTCCGACCCGGCGGCAGTCCAGTTCGAGGGGTCTCCAACTCATCCTAGCTGTGTACGGAGTATTATGGTATTATGGCCAATTATGGCACTTATTTAGGCAAATTATGACATATTATGTGCTATAATGAAGTATTATAGACTATTATGGGGTATTATGAGGTATTAAGTGGGTATTTTGGGGTATTATGTCCAATATTATGGGGTATTATGAGATATTATGAAGGTATTATGGGTCCCGTGTACTGAGTATTATGCGAGTTGGAGACCCCTCGGTCCAGTTAATGGAAAAGAGGAAGCAAGGTTGTGTGTGTGTGAGAGAGAGAAAGAGAAAGAGAGAGAGAGAGAGAAGGTATCGCAAGGCATATAGACAGGCGGTGGTGTGCCCCTGACTCACGTAGTGTTCTCTTCATTTCCAGCCCCCCCTGGCCACTTCCGGTGTCACTTCCGCGCTGGCGCTGGCCGGCCCGCAACGAGTTCTTCCAATCAGGTGGCTTATCTCTGACGCCGCTCCGACCCTGCTCATCGGCAAGTGACTGCTCCGGGTGACTATGGCGCTCCGAGCGGTGAGTACCACACCTTTCCACCCTTTACTTCCGATCGCGGGGGCCCAGCCGCGCTGCAGTGGTAGGATTTACTCCAACTTCCGTGATGCCCCGCCAGACGCTGAAAGTTTCATCGTCTCGATGAGATGCGCCACACTGCACTGCAGTAGACGGATTTGTCCGTGAAAGTTTTGCCGCCGGAATCACCATTGTCAGTGTCCGCGTCCCGTTTACCGGACTCGGGCGGAAAGGGATGACGAGTCTGGAGAAAAAGGACTTAACGTTGTGCTGCCTGTATACATTTATATTTCGCTTAGTTCACAATAATGACGCAGTGAGCTTTCCCTTTAAATGCCCTCTCTCCCCTCTTCGTTTCTTTCGTTTTTGCTGAATATTGTATGGTAGAACTTACGCGTACTATTCGACAGTGGCGTGCACTAAATACTATAATAGTTTCATTTTCGTGTGTGTGGGGAGTCTCTGAGGCTCAGTGTGGCACCGCGAGTTCACTGCTAGCGTTACGCTCTCGCGCCATTGGCCCTGTCACGTGCACCACTACTTGTGGTCGGCACATACACCTCTCACGTGCACGCTTGATGCACGTGCGGTGCGAACGAGTCGGTCACGTGCGGGGCCGCCACGCGCCGCCACTCTGCGCCCTCGACAAGGTGCTGGATACCATGCAAATGAGGTGTCTGTTTTGTTTGTTATTTCGCCCTTCCCTTAAAAAAAAAGCAGAAAAAAAATCATGTATTTTCATAGATAAAACTTTTTTTTGCTCGTGTCGTGGGAAGCGGCCCCGCTTTGCTGCAGTGCAGCGGGGGGTTTTGCCTTTCCCGCCCCGACCACCCCGCTCTGGGAAATAAACTCTGGGCAAAGTTGACAATACGATCGCCCGTCCGAGCCGGCGGGTGGTGTGGGGTAGAACGGGGCGGGCCGAGAGTTGCCGCTTGGCGAAGCTATGCTGCTGCTGCACTGTCCCTCGGGTAGCGCCATCGGTATGAAGTTGGAGCACGGGTCTCGAGGGGGTGGAGGAGAAGGGGGGAGGGGGGGTAGGCTGAACGCTCTTAGGCCCCACTCCCCGCCTCCCTCCCCTCTTTCGTCCATAGGGACGCTCCATCCTCCGACCGGCACACACACGTCAACGGAACCGCGAAATGCTCTCAACCGTGTGTGCCTATCTGACCGCGCCACGCCGCGCGCTTTGCCAAAGGTTTGCTAATACTTGATCTAATGTTCATTTTTTCCTGCGAGTGATTAAATGAGAGGGATTCATTGCGCTTTTTGCTCACGAATCTTTTCTCCCTGTTCCTGAATATTAGCAGCCATCTCGACAGGCTCTGCAGTTGCACTCTGAAAATCCAACTCTCCTTGTGTGTGTGTGTGTGTGTGTGTGTAATGCATACTAGCTGTTGGATTTTCGAGTATGCTGTCTCCGCAGTCTCGTCGTCGTCGCCAAAGCAGCTCCCCCGTTCCTTTCAACCCAGCCCCAGCCCTCCCTTCCCGCCGCAAAATAGTTTTGGCGACCAGTTCCGCTCACCTTTCCTTTCATCGCGGTGAACAAGTCAGCAGCGCCAAAGTTGTGCTCTGCCGCTGGGCTCTGGGCGTGGCTGGCGTGGCGGAGCGGCGGGGTGCTCATTGCCGCCGAGACGTCAGCGAATTTCACAAGGTAAGCGAAAACATTATTCTGCAGCGGGGGGAAAGTTGTGTCCTGGAAGACGTATACACCGGCGTGACGCATCGGGCCCCCGAGACCCTCCTGCTGAGACGGTGGAGAGGAGAGGGAGGGGGGGACGTGTCGAAACGTGGAGGATGTGCTGTGCAGGAGAAACGGGCCGGGAACGTGCAGAAAAATCTTTACGGAGAGGCGCACGGGCGTCGTCTGCTTGATGTGTCAATTTCTTTAGCGAGAAAACTGGGATCTGGCGGGAGGGAGACGCACGGCTGCTGTAGGCAGGGCAGGGCCAGGAGGGCGCCTGTCCAGCGGTAATCTGGCGCTCATCGAGAGCACGCCCGTGATGCGCCCGTGATGGATTCTCTCTCCCTCCTCCCCACGGTCCCCTTCTTCCTGCTCGCACGAGAGATGGTCCGGCCTGCTGCGAGCCCCTGTATCAGTGGCGCTTATTGCCCGGCCCCCGCTAGAGCGTGAGAGAGACGGGCGTGCGAGAAAACGAGAGGTGGCGATCGGTCGAGGCGATACGAGGTGACGAATGGTTGCGGCCTTGCGCCGCGAAAATTGCAGTTTAAAGCGCGTCGTGTGTGCGGGTCACGCGCGTGTGCGTATCTCTGCCACATTCGGATATTGGCGAAACCTGTTTGACGCGCTTTCGATTTTTCACGCCGAAATTGAGGATAATTTTTCCCGCGTGTAAACCCCACGGCCCCCCGGCTGGGTCGCAGATTGTATGGGGGCGGGCTGCACTGGGGGGCACACCGCGATCGCGATTATTGTTTTTGCAGGACAAACGGCATCCGACCGCCACCGCGGGGGAAGGGCAGAGAGGGCGTCAAAAGTAACTGCACTGCCTTTATCCCCCGGCGGGGCGGGGCGGGGCGAGGCGGGGCGGTGGCCGCTGGCGTGCGCGCGCGCCTGGTTCGGCTTTGATAACCCATTCATTGCGCACGGACAGCCTCCAATGGGCCGCCCCCTCCCCCCGCTATTGTCGCGTGGCGGGGCGTGGCGGGGCGTGGCGGGGCGTGGCGGCCGCGGTGAGCCCCCGGTGGGGCAGGCGGGGCCGGCGTGGCCCCCGCACGCTGTGCCCCTATCAGGGCGCCCCCATGCACCGGCGCGCGCTTATCTCCCGGAGGACGCGCCCCGGACGCCGTCCCCCCTTCCGCGTTTGTCTGATAACAATTAGCCCCCCGTACCCGCCGTGCGCGCGCGCTCCGCACCTGAGCCGCGCATTGTGTCCATCGTGACCACGGCCATGGATGGGGTTCCTGCAGACGCGGGGGCGGAGTGTGCACGGGACTTTGGCTCTGGAGGAGAGCAAGGCTGCGACAGCGAATAAATGAGTAATTGATGTGTGGCACGGCCGCACGGAGAGAAAAGTTCCGGCCAGACAACAAAACTGAGTTTGGATTGTGCCTTTTACCAGTACACGTAATCAGTTTTGGTGTCACACCGAAACCTTTAGACTCTGCACCAGAACCTTTGGACTCTGCACCAGAACCTTTGGTGACCACGCATGTAAAAGTTTGGATAGTGCTTTTCAATCAATTTTGTCCAAACTTTTGGGTGTACGGCCCGAACTTTTCTCTCCGTGCGCCTCGTGCGTGTTACCGGGTTCATTGCCAAACCTACGCCTGAATGGAAAAAAAAGCTGATCAAAACCAACAACAACGTGAATGTTCGCGTTGTCTTGAAAGCCTCCTCTGGGTGTCCAAAGGTGGATTAAGTCTCTTGTTAAGAATCCCTCCTCCGAGCTTTTTCTTTTCGTCTTCCTCACTAGACTAGAACCAGTTCAAGAAGTATAACTAAAAAAAATTATCAGAGTAAACCTGAGCCTCAGGTCCAGCCGCGGTTAGGTTAATGAAGTTGAGGGTGTCCCATTCAAGGTGGGACGCCATAAGTTTAAATCAAAGACCACCTCTCTCTGCTGCGGGTGCGGCTAGGCTGTTGGGTGAGCTTGGCTCTTGGCTCTACATTTCATCCCTAGCTCTCCAACTCGCCCTATTCGCGTCGTTTCAAACTCTGCTGAGTTCAGAAACTGAGCCAGAGATACAAATTCCAGTTGTCCGTCATAGGAGAGCGTTATGGCTTCACTGGTGCGTAAATCCCGCCTTGGATGATACATACCCTGTAAATACCCAGGTAAATGAGGGTTATATATGCTTCATATATAATTATATATGTTCTGTATATGGTAATATATGTCCTTATATATGACCACATATATGACCATATATTACTATATATGGATTATATATGCTTGTATATGGGCCTATATATTACCATATATCCATATATCACCATATATGTTTCGATTATATCGAAACATATATGGTGATATATGGCCCCATATATGGTAATATATAAGCCCATATACAAGCATATATGATCATATATGACCATATACAACCATATATGTGGGCATATATGTCGTCAAATATAAAGCATATATCGCTATATATGATCATATACAAATCATATATGGCCATATACAACCCCATTTACCTGGGTAATTTTGTATTTTACCATGTAACATGCGCGGCGCGCGGCAGGGGCCTGTAACACAACGAAAACATAGTTAACATAGTCATAGAGAGTAACATTGCATGTTAGGGATTATCTAGAAAGTATGACCATGATTTGCCGTTACAAACCTATTGCTTCCATGTTCAGCTATTCCATACTCTCTTGTCGCCTGATGGGTAGGCACAATCTTGCCTGCAGTGCAAGCGTGTACAGCGGGATGGCCTACCCTGATTCTCGCAGGCGCCAAGGTCCTGTCATTTGCCGAATGAATCCGGGAGAAATGAACTACTTTTTGGACCATCCCTTACATTAAGACCGATAACTCGAATAAGAACTCGCCTAAGGCTCGTTACGTTTCGTAACTATTACGAGACATGTATGTCGTTACCGCCAAAAACTCCTTTCGGAACTAAATAAAATAGAAAATGTGCTACCTTATTCTAGGCAAAACCTGTAAAATTACAGCATTTTAAACTTTTGTTATGTTCTGAAAGTATCAGTACGGGAACGTGTCGGTGTAGTAAAGTTACGTTACAGATAACGTCATACCTGCTACGACAATAACGTAAACGTAAATTCCCACGCCATTTTCATCATGATTCGTGGACCGTTGGACAGTAAAATATAGGAAATACTACAATTTCGCCATCCACTTTAGCCTGGACAACAACAAGGGAATTCGGAGAGGGATGCGGGAGGAAGAGAGACATGGCTTTCCGCGTTCGGGTCTGCTGCTTCGCCCCCTCGCACTTACAGGACGGCGAGCCTTGTTGCGGTGCGTGTGGTCGCCGTTTGTGTCGGGACACGGCGCTAAGACGACAAT